TCCAGATGGACGGTTCAGCCCCAACCGGCGGGCGGCAGCCTCAAGAGCGCCGCCAGGCCCAAACGATAATGCCGTTTGGGCCTGCTCGTTGGGTACTGGTCCAAGATCAGGCCCTGAGGGCCTGTACTATCCCAAGGTCGGGCCTTTAGGCCCTGATGTGTCCCTCCGACCCTAAGTCGGGTCCGGTAGGGCCCGTGTGCGTCGAAGATGTAACACACACACACACACATACACACACACACACACACAGAGCACCACACACACACAGGCAAATGCCACATATGCAATTCTGTCTCAGATTGCTCCAATCCAGCACATGACCATCATCCACATGGGGCTTTACGCACAGGCCATGACATTCCTGGTACCATTTCTTCCTCTTCTTCTTCGTCTTTTTTGTGGGAAGGCAACGGTGGCCACATTAGAAACAAGTTCTGCATCGGCAAAAAGAACACCTGCCGGCAAAAAACACAGCCATCGAGTTCGAAAAGGCAATAGAAGCAGCTCGGCACTTTGTAATAAGCGTGGATGTCATAACTACAGGGGCGGGCCGTGGTGTCCAGACGGTCTGAGTTCAAAAAAGGGGAAAAAGAATGCCGTGGTGTCTTGACGGCCTGAGTTAAAAAAAGGGGAAAAAGAATACCGCTATTTTTCACGAAAACCCACATTTCAAACTCGCGCCATGAGCAAAGTGCCATTCAGTGTTTCCTTTTAGCCTTTTCGAACTCGAAACCAGATTCAAACGTACTTCTTTCTGGGTTTTTTTTTTTTTTTTTTTTTTTTTTTCCCTTCCGACTCAGACCGACTGGCTGAATGATATACAAACTTATAAAGTGTATAAACTTACTATAAAGTACTATAAACCATTGGTTACTAGGGCCAGCCACCTATGGATAAATCTTGAGGCTGTCACCATTTGTTTCGTCGTAAAGTGTAATATATCCCTGTCGAAGTTTGGATCGACGGGTGCTGAATAAACCTGGATGTCAACTTGAAAGTGAAGACTGATTTACGCAGGTTGCAGACTTTGAGAAAATGATGTGGGGGCCACTGGGTTGATTGCTGACAGGACTTTTGAGGTTCGAAGATAGACGGGACGGGTATGCCTTCAACTACCCCGATGATTGGGTAGAGGTCAGAGGGGCTGGAGCGGATATCTTCTACCGAAGCGCCTTTGATCCTGATGAAAATCTGTTTGTCAGTATCAGCTCGCCGTCGTCGTCAAATTACCAATCGATCAGCGACCTTGGAACACCAGAGGAAGCCGGCAAGAGATTCCTGAAGCAGTATCTTACGGAGTTAATGTCGACGCGCCTGGGTGTGAGGAGAGAATCGAAGTTGTTGAGTACTCGGCAGCGCACAACACCGGTGTGCACCCTCCCCTAGCTCGCCTCCCTCCTCCCTCCTCTCCCTCCTCTCCCTCCCCTCCCTCCCCTGAGTTCTTCCCTCCCCCCTCGGCGCCACTGTTTTGTACATTTTTGCATACATATTAGTATATTACGCCCTTGTAAGTAATCCCTGTTTGACTCTTGTCAAATGATCTCAAACCTTTTTTTTTTTTTTCCCTGTGTCAAATCGCTTTCTGCGACTTTTCCTGTTGTCAAGTTCTTTTTTTTTTTTTTCCAGCTCACTTTYTTTTTCTATAAATTACGCCCAAAAAAAGGGGTCGGCCACCCCACATAAAGACCGGGTCTTGGAGCTTTGCCCAGTGTTATGCTTTTGACGAGACCCAATGGGACCCGGATCGAAGTACCACTCATAACGCAAAGCTGTGATTCTACTTCCAGGGCTTAAACCCTAAACCCTAGTTGCTCCTTTCTTACCCCTACGTTCCCTACCTCTCCGCTTTCTTGCTCTATCCTTGTGTACTCCTCTCCATCGTCACAGCAGTTTAGTGATCCCCTAAAAGCCTAAACTTGTAGTAGCACACATAACTACCGCTACAATGCTAATTTTTGCATTGAACCTTATACCCTAGTTATTCCCATCATAACCCCTTACTTCCTACTTGTACCACACTACTTTCTTTCTCTAGCCATGTGTTACAAACAAATTTTCAATACAAAATTCCACAAGGAGACAATACCATTTATTTGCGACCAAAATGAAGGAGATTGGGAAAGAATAAGACAAGGGAAGAGGAAGAATCGTGAATGGAGGAAGAAGATTATGATAAACAGAAGGTGATACCGAAGGCTCCTCTCCCTCAACTCGCCTACATCGCTTCTCACTCATCACCTCCACCATCAGCTCATTAAACCACCAGTGCATCCGAAAAAGCAGATAGAGTCTCTCCTAAAACTTCGGAGGTCATGGACCGTCGAGGAAATGAATCGGCGGCTCATGGCCTCCTATAGTTTTTAGGAGAAGCTCAATCTCTTTTTTCGGATGTACTGGTGGTTTAATAAGAATACAAGACAGCAATGAATTTAGAAGTCGGACTCAACGTCCTACCAGACATCCGTTAAATTGTGACAATACAGAGAAGGGTAATTAGCATATGGCCCCCCTGTGCAAGGATAACGCGCACAAATCGAGAAATGGTCCAAGTTAAAAAAAAAAAAAAAAAAAAAAAAAGTCGGAATCAATGATGAAAATCTGTTTGTCAGTATCATGGCCTCTGTTTTCGCTATTCACTCTCCACGCAGGCGATTTTGTGATACGCCCCCTGACAGGAGTGCCAGGAGCGCAGCCTGGCCGAAACGCGTCGGGGAATTTGCGCGTTGCAGCTGAGAATTGTACATGCGGGATTGGAATGAATTTTATCATGACGTGTACGAGAAGCAGTTTATGGCCTCTTTTTTCACTATTCACTATTGACTCTCCTCCTCCTCCTCCTCCTCTTCTTCTTCTTCTTCTTCTTCTTCTTCTTCTTCTTCTTCTTCTTCTTCTTCTTCTTCCTCCTCCTCCTCCTCCTCCTCCTCCTCTTCTTCTTCCTCCTCCTCTTCTTCCTCTTCCTCCTCTTCTTCCTCTTCCTCCTCTTCCTCCTCCTCTTCTTCTTCTTCTTACCATGGACAACCACTTGGCCCCTCCTCCTCCTCCTCCTCCTCTTCTTCTTATTCTTCTTCTTATTCTTTGTCTTCTTCTTCTTCGTCACTGCTGCTGCTGCTCGTCACTATCTTGTTTCACGTTATCCGCATCGCCATCGCCATCGCCATCCCGGCCATCGATAATAAATTGGCCAATTTCAACAAAACGACAATCATAATCGATCTCATCATGGCCGCTCAACTCAGCATGCAGGAAAGTCTCTCTCTCTCTCTTCTCTCTCCTTGTTCTCGGTCTCACCTCACAGTCGTCGCTCGTCTCTCAGAATGTCTTCCTCTCTCTCACACTGCAAACTATGGCCATGGCACCCAGCGCCGTTGGCTACACTGCACTACGCTCTCACTGACAAGGTCCCCTCCCCAACGCATTAGGCGCAGCGCTTCTCAATGAGTGTCTTCCTCTCTCTCACACTACAAACTATGRCCATGGCACCCAGCGCCATTGGKTACACTGCACTACGCTCTCACTGACAAGGTCCCCTCCCCAACGCATTAGGCGCAGCAGCGCTTCCACATTGAGTGCCCCGCACATTGTGTTGAAGTCCAGGAGCTGCTGGACTTCTATACTTTGCTGATCCGCCTTCCAGGCATCTTCTGCTGGTCACAGGCTGGCTCCCCTTTCCTTTGTTTGCTGCTTCCAGAAACTTGATGGATTCTCCTTGGATATGGCTGTAACCTGGCCTAGCGACCTGCTTGGCATGCCTAAAGATCTACTTAACCAGCCTACCTCGGCTTCCGAAGTCATTGTATAAACCAGATCTTCTCTTCTAGAGGACTTGTGAATATGGTACGAGTGGCTGGAACCACTAAGGGAACTCGGAATGGACTTGGGACTAGGATCTGGGACTTGGGACTGAGACCTGGGACTCGGGACCGCAGTCTGGGACTCACGACTGGGGCCTGGGACTCGGGACTCTGTGAATCCTTTCAGTACTGACTTGGGACTGGGGACTGGTGCTCGGGACTGGGGCCTGGGACTAGGGACTCTGTAAATCCTTTCAGTACGTCTATTCGGGGGAAGAAGATGATTGCTATTTTGGGAGTGAAGGTGGTCCTTGTCTGTTGAATGGATCATGCGACATTGTGACAGGCCCTGTGTTCACCCAGGGCACGGTCCCACCATCCACGGGATAAGATGGTGCACTACCCGCGTGACGGTTGTGGGACACTTGAACCTACCCTCCCCCCCTAAAAAAGGTAGAGAGAAAGAATGTTTTGGGTGCTTCACATCTGGCATGGGCAGTTGTAGAATGTATTGTGGCCATAGTTTGGGTCCATGTAACATTTCTTCGAGGTTTCTTTGTGGAGATGTCCGCTGCCGGAGGAGGCACCAACAGTTGCAAAACGGTTATGGGTTCGTGAGCTTTTCCCGCCAATTGAAAGCAAAAAGTGGAACCCACCAAAACAAATAGGAATGTGGTCCGTGTTTTTCTTTCTTTGAGGTCTTTTCCAAACTGCACGGACCCCGTCTCGTCCCTACCGCATCCCAACTCGTGGTAGAAACAACGCGGCCTGAGTTATCAATTTTATAACTCGTGAAAATGTTGCACCAATAATCAAACAGCGTCTCTACATTCCGGGAAGCCAAAAATCTCGACGAAATAATATATGCCCAAAATAAAAGCCCACAAAAAATTTGGTGCACCTCCACTCTGATCGGCATCCATGGCCACGGCTAGTCACACACAAATGCTGGGTTCTTCTGTGATTACCTTATCCGGTGTCTAGTGGGACCATGCCCCTGGAATCTGTGGATTGGCTCTTTTTTTCTTTTCTTTTCTTTTCCAGAAGAAGAAGAAAATTTATTATACACAAGCCAGGAAACGGGCCTGTCGTCAAGTTTGCTGGGCGACTACCTGCCTACTACTACTAGTAATCATAGTATTACGAGGAACCCCGTAGCAGCGACAACCGTGTTGACGAGAGAACATGTGGGAGCTGCGCTCTACCTGCAGGTGGACGATACCGGACAGGGGACAGCCGGCAGCATCAGGGACCATGCCAACAGGACCAATCCCTGTGCGTCCCCTCAGGTGGTGGTCCCCACCCCTACGAACATCAGCAGACTCTGCTCAATGTCGTTCGGGGGATCCAGTGGTCTATCTCTAGGTTCGGGCGCCAAGCTTGCCCAGGACGGTACATGAGGCCCATGGGGATTGAACCCAAGACCTCGTGAATGCCACTTGCAAGCCATGCCAACTGAGCTAGGCCGCCGGATTCAAGCTATTTTGGGCACCAATTCCCCTTTTTTTTTGTCTTTTTTGAAGTTTTTCCTAGGCTACCAGAGTGGCGCGGGGCCATTTGCCCGGCCAGGCCAAAAAAAAAAAAAAAAAAAAAAAAAAAAAAAAAAAAAAAAAAGAAGTTTATTTTCTATTTTAAATATAGTAAAGAATTTCAAAGTGACCCTGAGGCAAAAGTTGTTCAGTTTATTTTTCTGCATAACATAGTTGTTTTTCGGAGTTTTTTTTTTTTTTTTTGCTATGACCTTCCGTGGTCCTTGCACGGCTGGGCCGTCTGGGAAAATAGGGTGACCCGGGCGGCCCGGCTGGTAGCCTGGCTTTTTTTCTGAAAAACATTAACGACTCTGTGGGTCCTATTAGGGAGAGTGTTAAGAGAAGCCCACCCTAATATGACCGTATTATGACGGCATCAATTTACTAATTTTACTTTGTTTGTTCGTTCGTTTTGTCTTTTTTTAGTTCTTTTCTTTGTTGACTGATCACCGTGTTGAATTTAAAGAATGGCAGTAGTGGCTGGGCGAGCGAGAGGCTGAAGACGGCCCCAGGATTGGGGCTCACTAGAGTAGAGTGAAGCCTAAGCAGATCTCTGTCACTGCATAGATATTATCATATTAACTGAAAATTCATTTAAAATTTAAAATTTTTAAATTATTCAATTTAAGTACTTCTAATAATTCAGACCTTTTTTGATGTAATTTGAAAAGTTTACATTGTGCGCTAGTTCGGATTGTTTTTTAATGTTTAATCTGGGATGAGGTGCCACTTGCCAGCATGGCAACCGGCCGGACGTCTGGACCGGAATCCAGACGGTCCGGTTGTCTGGGTATGGGTGGTCCGGTAGGTCTGGATTGGGCCCAATTTTGAAAAAAATCGAATTTTTTTTTGGGGGGGCCTAGGACGTTTTTCGGGTCCTAGGACACCCCAAAAAATGCCCTCAGTATTTTTTGGCCGTTTCAGGGCCTACCGGACGCCGCCAGATGTTTTTCGCTGGTAGTATGACCTCTGCTGTTGTTCTACGCTGGTAGTTCATCGGATGAGGATGAGTCTGATTCCAAAATGAAGCGCTGGCTGCAAAGCGCCACAGAACATCAAGCTAAAGAGAGAGAGAGAGAGAGAGAGAGAGAGAGAGAGGATTTTGGTCAGATCTGAGATCCCGTCTTAGAGATCTGGTCCTGACCAGATCTCAGATCTGTTCTTAGTACTTCTTATGTAGATCTGAATAACTTAACAGTTTAAATTTTCAATTTTTTCATATGAATATGAATTAGAAAGTCTTAACTTAAAATTTCCAAGTTCTGTTTTTCTCTGATTTTCGTACTCTTTTCTGAAGTGATTTGGGATTGGTCTGTTCGACTCTGTTGAGAACTGGTTTCAACTTTCTAGTGTTGTGTGAGCCTTTGTGACTGTCTCTGACTCTGTGACAGTATGAAGCTGTCAAGTTGTGAATAGTGAAAGACAGTAAGCTGTGTTTAGTACTGTTTACTACTGATGTTTTTTTTTTTGTTTGTTTGTTTGTTTGTTTTTTTTGTTTTTTGGGTCCGGACATTTTTGTGTCTTGTGTACCAGTCCTGTCCGGTTGTCCGGTGCCTGTCCGGATTACCGGACGTCTGGACCAGTCCAGACAAATGTCTGGGCCTCGGTCCAGACATGTCCGGGTCCGGGTCTGCGGTTGCCATGCTTGCCAGTATTCTTCATGTATGACAAATGCTGACCATTGATTTTGTAGATCATTGGCCAGAAGCGGGAAAAGAAGGGGGGAAAAAAACGCCCGAGTAAGCGGACTTTGGCCCCGATGCCAGCGGTTTCATCTTTTTATAAATCCTTTTTATTTTGTGGGGGGGGGGCGGGGGTTGGCATTGACAGGATGGTCAACAATTCTATGAGATTGAAGCGAATGTGAAATCCTTTGCCGCGACCAATCAGTTGGCCATTAACCCAGAGGAAAGGGTTCCGTATATGGAATGGGACCGGCGGTATCTGTCGGTCCTCGGTGTGGCGAACAGCCGGTTGTACGAGTTGAGGTTGCAAGTCCCGGAAAAGAGCATCCCGACTGAAGAAGCGAGGCTTCGGAGGGTGATGGACTCGTTTGAACTGCAACAACTCTCTACGAGAACGAAGGTGGGCTAATGTTTTTTTTTCTCTACAAGTGAAGAAGGGTCGCGGGGGGGGGGGGGGGGGGCGGGTCTTGAGTTTTAATGGGGGAATCATTGCAGTAAATTGCAAATTACGTTTATGCCCCTCAAGTTTGGATCGTCCCCAAGGCTGGCTAATATTTTTTTTGCTGGGTGACCTCTAGGGGAGGAGGGGAGAGGGGCGCCGATTTCCGGGGAAGCATTTCAGTAAATTGCAAATTACCTTTATGCCCCTCTAGTTTGGATTGTCCCTAGCGATGCCCATGCGAACCTGAAGGTGAACTTTCATGAGGAATGCCAACACCACGCACGCATAGCTCATATAAGGCAAAATCCAAGGGGTTAGTTTTGGGATCTCCATGGAGGAGGTAGGGGGTCTTGGGGAGGGGGGGGGGTTGCAGGGGGGGTTGCTGGGTAGCAGTGGCCATCTTGTGAAGAGGGTCTGGTGGGGGAGAAGGTGGTGGCAAGGGAAAATGGGGACCATTATGGTCAGAGGGGGTCTGTAAGGGGGTGGGGAATAACCAGGCGTAGTATGTTAAGAAGTTAGTCAAATGATTGCTCAGTGATTTTCAAGGGAAAGGGTAAAACAAAGGCTAGTGAAAGGGGGTCTGTAAGGGGGGGCGGGTAACCAGGCCCGGCCACCCAGGAATGTCGGAGGGGTCAGTAAGGGGGGGGGGCAGGAGAAGCTAGTCAAATGATTTGGGCCAATCCGGGTACTCTTCAATTTCAAAATCTTCACCTGTATTTTTTAGTAAATTTTATTTTCCATTAATGTTATTTATTATTTAATATGTACCATCTTCATCCTTTTATTCAGCAGCCTCGGAAGGTGTATTTGATGCTATTTCATGTCCAGATTTCATTTGTTTTTCACCCTTTTTGCATATTTTAATTTTAAACAAAATAATTCCCACATTCTAACATCAAGTCAGAAGATCAGAAATTTGAACAACAAAATGCCTGCAGCTCCTTGTTATTTAAAAAAAAAAAAAAAAAGGCAGTGCCATGGTAACAATTGGCATGGGTACAAACCATACTTGCGAGCGCACGTCGTGCGGGCGGTTCCCTACGTGCAGCACGCGCGCCCAACCAATCCCGTGCGGCGCACGACGTGTGCGGGGAACGACCCGTCACCCCCCTCAGAAAAAAAAAAAAGGCCAGGGTCAAAACGGTGCATTTGAGGCCCCCCACCAAAATTATAAGCGAGATGAAAAGAAAAAATTACAGGAGTACTGCCTCACCTTGCTCCTCCTCCCCTTCCTCATCCTGCATGTCTCCTCCTCCCTTCTCCTCCTGCCCTTCCTCTTTTCCCTCCGTCCATCTCTTCTCCTCCCCCATCTCGACGACTCCTCCTCGTCGTCCTCGCTATCCTCGTCGTCCCCCTCGTCCACATCCTCCTCCTCCTCTCCATATCCCCCTCTCCTCGCCATATCCCCATCTTCCTGTCATACGCCCCCCCGTTCCCCCTCCGAAAAAAAGATAAAATAATAATAATAAAAATAAAAAACCTGCACGATTCCGCACAGGCACCCCCCGCACGGAACTCCGCACGGAACTCCGCACGAATGTGGGGCTCGTGCGGTTGCAAGTATGGTACGAACTGTTAATGTAAAAGCTAACGTAATAAAAAGCTTGCAGCTTTTTTTCCTTTCTTTTTTCTTTTAAGCTTGCAGCCGGGGCCTTGTCCCACTACCGTCTTCACCCGAATAGAACACCCGGTCATTATAGCGGTATTTGCTGCAACTTCCAGTCTAGATACAATGATAATGACCAGGCGGTATATTTGGTGAAGACCGTAGCAACGTTAAGCCAGCTCAACACTGAGCTTTCAATCACCTGTGGCAGGGAGCAACGCAGGAGAGCCTAGGAAGCACCAACAATCGGTCGGTGCACCTTTTGGGGCGTAGTTTGGTGACAAAAAAAGGCGGGGTGGTGTTTTCCTTTTCTTTAGCAACAACTTTTTCTGAAATAAGATGTCATGCGAACCGAGCGCTTTGGGCGAAAGGTGTATGGGTTGAGATTGCAGTTTCTGCAGCGAAATGGATCCACATCAGGTGCTTTCTTTAGACTCATTACTGTCGGAAATCCCACTACCCATGATCTCTTTTTGTTGGCTCCCTTTCTTTTCTTTTCTTTTCTTTTCCTTTCTTTTTTGCTGTTGTTGTTATGTCTATCTCTAATATAATATAATATATATAATAATACTCTAAAGGAAATAGAGGGTCTCGCGTGAGCGTTCCACGCAAGCCCCCGCTCACAGTGTTGGGAAAGTACGAAATGGGCCCACGGCCCGTGTGGGGGGCGGCAGAGCAGGCCCCGATGCCCGAGTTTTGTTTCCAGTTTGGCGGCGAGTGTTCGAACATCATTTTTCCACAGTTCTTTTTTCGCACCTGACTATCCTTCCGAGTTCGGTGGTGAGTTCAAATATTGTTTTTCTTCGATTTTTTTGTTTTTGAGTCTGGCGGCGACTGTTCGGGCCGAGGTTAGTTCGGGCCTGTGTGAATGGAGGTTGGGCGGCGCGATTGTGCGACAATCGTGTGGAACACTCGGGCGGAAGGCCGCTGTTGGCGCGGTTTTATGAACGGGGTCTTTTTTGGCCACGGGTTTGTGGACTGAATGGACAAGTGTGGCAGTGCTGCAGTGTGTATTTCCATGTTCTAGTGGGAGATTCATTCGATTTTGCTCATCCTATCGATGGAAGTAGCGTCAGGCTAGCCGCGACGTCCGAGACTTACCTTTCTCTCTCCCTCTCTGTGTGTCTCTCTCTCTCTATCGATGGAAGTAGCCTCCTCTATCTCTTTGCGCGCATGGCTGGAAAGCAGTGTATATGTCCATATTCATTCCGATTTTGCTCATCCTAACAATGGAAGTAGCCTCTCTCTATTTC